GTCAGGGAATCTTACTCAAGAAGAGGGTTTTCAGCCAAATATGAGTGGGTTCAGAGGGACATCTCTCTGTCTGTCTGTCTGTCTATCTATACATCAGTCTATCTATCAGTCTATCTAGAGGCTTGTTTATTTCTTCAGATTTACGTATGATCTCTGCCCTCCGTCTTTCCGGCAGCCTTTATGAGAACCTGGCAAATGTATAAAATATGCCACGTCATGGTTTTCCATCGAACGCGCATGCCACACTCTGAAGTGTATCCAAATAAATAAAAGACCAGCCCCTTCATATTTGCTTACTCTTTCCACTCCAGTGGAGTTCTGTGGAAACCGGTATATAATAGCACAGTCCACAGAGCATCCTATAAACGTCTGTTCTCATCGGGACGGACAGTCGCTGTAAAAAAATCCATACGTGCCTGCGGACATCAGGGCGGGGTAGGATGGCCTATTTGTTAGAGCAGACACTGGAGGGGAGCGACTGCGAGGCCGCGGCCGGTGAAGCCCTGTTATGCATTAGCGGTCGGGTCGATATGGACGCACAAGCTCTGCCCTGGCTGGGGTCCCCTTTGACCCGAGGCCTTTCAATGCAACTCGGAATATACATCAGTTCTGACCCGGCAAAGCAGGACCACGCTGATGGGGAGGACAGAGCAACCAGCAGGGATGCGCTGTTTATATCACACTCATGAACTCTAGAAATCAAATACAAGACAGTCTCTATTAACACCTGAGTGTCTAAAAGTACAAAAAATGTATATACACTAGGTTTGCTTTGGTAATTATATTGGTGTCCCATACATGTTCAGTTCAGCTTCTCTCTGCCTGCTCAACAGGGTTCATGGGAGGAGGGGATTGACATAACTGCACATAACACTCGCTTTTCCATGCATTAACAGACGCATGAAACATTATAATTGTTGCGTTTACCATTCAGTCTGTTTTTTTTCCACAGTTTTACACTTTGCCATTTCTGCAGGTGTATGTTTTTACTGGTTAATTTTACACTAGGTTCTTTGCAAACAGCAGGACCATGGATATGAATTAGAAAACTTGTGTCTCAGATAATAATATGTTTGCTTAAAAAAAGATTTTAAGTTGCATTAGTCTAATATAAAAACCATTATGAATTAGTAATGGGAAAATGTAACAATTCAGATAAAACAAGCTTGAATCTTACATCTGATCTTGGTTGAATGAGGAAGAGAACTACTGTACCTGGATGTGTGGAAGAAACAGGAACTTTATTTGGAGGTGGGAGTGAAAATGGACTTAATGAAGGTGGTGGAGGGGAAATGAAAAGCTAAAACAGTTGTGTGAACGAAAAGCAGTGCAGGGTGACGGTCAGTGATGGGGCATGACTGGAGGAGTCAGGAGTGGCCAGAGAAGACAGAGGTTAGTCCCATGGAGTGATTGGTGATCAAGCACCAGTGAAGGGAACGGATTGTCTCACCCGGCCTTACAGCATCCATGCCCCCCCATCCCATCTTATAGTTACATTCATAGAATATTGTCAGAGTCAACGGAAAAGGGGTGACAATTTTTCCCGAAAATATTTTGCTAGACATTATTGTGCTGCTTTATGTTTGTGTGGGATAATCCTTTAGAGCTTAAAAGAAAAGCAAAAAAAGATCTAATATTAGGGGAATTAAACGCACTGTTTCTCTCTTTTCGGCTCCTCGACGAGAGGTTGATGAGTCAAGCGTGCGCGAGCTTTCAGAAGACTCCTGCTTATAAATTGTAAATAGCGGCGCTCAGCTTTTCCTGTTTGCGAGCCGATCCATTTTTAATGCAAGAGGAGACATGGAGGAGACCACCTGCTGGACGCAGCTGAAACCGAGGCACGCGAACACACACACACACACATGTAGGGTAAACATATCCTTATGGGGACCGCTCATTCATTTCAATGGGAAAAATGCTAACGCTAACTACAGTATGACAACCTTAACCCCTACCCTGCCCTAACCATAACCATAGGTAACCTGACAAAATACAAGAGTTTTTGCATTTTCAGTTTTTTCATAGCAGTCACCGATTTTTATAAAATTAGAGTTTTCCCTTATGGGGACCAGGAAACCGGTTCCCATAAGGGAAAAAAAACGGATATTTATCACGTTATGGGGACATTGTGTCCCCATAAGGATAGGTAAACGCGCTCGCACACACACACGCACACACACACATCCTGCAGGTTTAAATACAATTTTAATGCATTTTTGCTTTGCCTTGAACTCACGATTCCCCTCAAAGCCTGTGAGATGTCAGCTGTGTCCTCCTTATGTTTTATTTGAAAGTCTCGGGCTCACCTGCCATGTGACGTGGACTGAATTGTACTGCTCTCATGGGGGACACAGTGCGTCTTTGTGCCACCGTTACTCTTATTAGCAGCTGAGGATGAATACCTAGTGCATGTTGGCCTGTAACCAGATGAATCTTATCCAGTACAGCCAAAGTTTAAGACTAGCCAATAAACATTTAGTAATTTATCATCTTAAATACAACGTTTCATCTTATTTTCTATACCCAAGCCTACATACATTATATTACATATTACCCAAAGGCTGATTAAAAGCAGTAAGAGAATATGATATTTTATAGATGTACAGTGCAGCATGATAACATCAGGAATTACTTGACCAAGAACTTGTAAATTTGAATTAATGATGATGACCATGCAAGTTCTGTTCCATGCTGTTTGTTTTGGCTTTGCATTGTCAATTATTTCTGGTAATTCCCCATACTCTGCTTGCGGTCATTGTCCCGTAGTGTCTCCCTTCAATTAAAATCAATTTAAATAGGTGTTATGGACTCTGTGCCCACGCTGCTTGTTCCTGAAGACGACTCTTGGGGTGACTCGTGTCCCATCCCACATCGCTGAATGATGACACAAGACTGCCCGCGTTAAGTTGAGATCTAAATTATACTAAGTGAAATCTTAATTGTGGTCATTAATGGATGAAAGCAAGCCTTTGATGGCCCCATCACAGTCAGATAGACAGCTAAAAGCTCTGGGCCAGCTGACCCAGAGGCGTCATACAACGATGTGTTATTATCAGTAGGTAACACAGGCGGAGGTCCGGCATCTCGCCTGGTATTACATGATCTTACACTGGGCTATAATTTGCATGCATCTGACATTTGAGCTGGCAAGATGGCCGCCTCCACGGTATCACATGCGCCGTCATGCGTGTTCCACGCGAAGGGCCGCAGCACCGGCGGCTTTCATACCGTCCCACCCATGCTTTCCCAGTCGTGCGGCCTGCCGGTTCATTCGGCCCAGATATTACTGCGTTACCGTGTGCTGTTCTTGTCTGGATCACAGGACTGTGAAATTATATCCTACAAAGGGGTCCTTAGCGATCCATTGCCGGGTTGGGGGGGGTAGCTGTTACGTGCGCTGCTCCAGCAGCAGAAGGGACTCAAATTATAAATGGGTCCTTTACCATTTCATGTGGTCGAGCTTAAATGTTATTCCTGGCTTTTTTTAGAAGGTAAGGGGACATATTCCCCTTTGGGATCCGCTTGGCTTGGCAGATGTGCCATCTCACAGTGCGTATACATCTGTTAAATTTCCTTCTTTTTTCTCTTAAAGGCCACTTTCAGAAGTTTTAAGTGAGACATTCTCCTTGAAAGCCTGTAGGTAATTTATGTACATTTATTTATGTAGGTAGCAGGGTGATGTATGTTTCTTGTGCGAGCTGTATTGTCTAGAGCAGTTAGCGATGTGCCGCCCTAAACCTGCCTGTGGGAAGGCCTCCGTTGACTCAGGTCATCAGCTACTCCTGTCAATTTCCAGACTAAATTAAGGGGCCTTTTTCAGGGAATTGTGATGCGAAATTGGCACAGTTTGTTCTAAGGGCACAAATTGCAAAGTTTGTGTTGGAGGTGAGCTTTGCGGCAATCCACTGGCAGTCTCGTGACCTTGATGACAGGGGGGCTGTGTCGCTGTTAGTTTTTCTCCAAGCCTCTTGCCCCCGTTTTGCCGTTCGCATATGCGCAGTGGCAATCCCCCCACCACACACACACACACACAGGAGGGGCTATGTGGTGCATGGATGAATAAAAGCTCTAAACAAGGCTGCAAGCAACCAAATACTCTATGTTTGCTATCACAGAGAATGAAGAATGGCCTTCATATGAACAGTTGCTGGACGCAATGATGCAATGGTCCTCAACAGTCCCCTCTTTGTGAAGAGGACTGAGGATTGGACTCAAATCCTCTCAGTAAATATTCCAACAGAGGCAAGCGCTTTCAATACTATATTTAACTAGGATGCCCATGGAGTTTTTATTGGCTACCCTAAAGGCCTTCCTGGATGAGCCTGCAGGTGACAGAGGAGATACTATACTATATGTATATACACTGAAAGATTTATGTCAGAGCTAGATCAGCTGGGATTTGGCTCACCGGCTTCTGAACAGGAATTAGGGGCATAATTGAGTGTACTCATGCCCACTCGCGAGCAGTGAAACAATGTAGTTGTCATCGTGTTTATTTGATATCTATTTCATATCTTATTGCCTTGCATTGTATTGCTGGCATATAATGTTGACGGGATATCTTATACATGCGTAAATCCTTTGCATTGCACTTAATTGCAAGATTCCCTTCTGCCTGATCTGTACCGCTAATGTACTTGGTTAAAAAAATAAATAAATAAACCATTTACAACGAATGGAAAAAAAAACATACACTGTAGCCAGCGGTGTAATTGTAGGATTTGTAATAGATAAAAAAAGCATGATGAATAAAACAAATGGGTCTCCTATATTTATAGCTGTATCCAATTAAATTATAGCGTGACCAAAAGAGGTAATTTCACAGTCGGCTGAGCGGCAGGAAGGTGCGCGCGAGAGTGACAAGCGGCGAGACCCGTAACTATTCTTTGGCATCCCGTCTCTCCGCCAAGTTAAGATCTTCGCACTTGGGGATGTAATAATAATAATAATAATAATAATAATAATAATAATAATAATAATAATAATGTCTTCCTTTTTAGAAATCGAAAAAATTCAGAAGGACGAAGGGAAAGAAGACGAGAAGTTCATCGACGTTGTCATCAATAAGAACATGAAACTGGGACAGAAAGTCCTAATACCCGTCAAACAGTTCCCGAAAGTAAGTGTTAAAGAATAATGGGTTGATATGGTACAGTACTACAAATGCTTACATAGGTTCAATGATCTAACATACCACAGTTTAGAAAAAGGTTATACTGCTCTTAAATTAGATAGTAAAATAGATTTAGTTTTACATTTTACTGAACATTTTGTCTTTCGCGTTTGTGTGTTGCTCTGACCTTGCCAGACGTATCAATTCCAATAAGATTGTCAGCATATGACCACTGAAATCATTTTCAGCAGAAAATAAATATATTTTTATAAGGGTACATTGGCATATTTATCTAATGTTTAACAGCAGGCATTCTCCACCACAACCCCTACCAAAAAATAAGACATTTTGAGGTTGTTTATGATTATTCTAAATTATTTGTTGTTGTACTTGTGAATGCAAGCAGTGATAATTATTGGAATACAAAGGAAACTCCCTGTGGAAAAGCATTTCCCAGCTCAGGGACGGGGAATTAATGTATGCTTTGTGAAGCGAGAGTCTGATCCCTGCTCACGCCGGCTAATGTGTCTGTCTGACTAAGTGACAACATCTTTAATAACCCTCCCTCTTGTCACTGGAATAACAAGTACTGACTGACATGTTTGTTTGAGATCACCACCGACATGGGACCGAGAAGGAATGCCAGACTTGATGTTTAGATATGAGATGTCGCAACTCCAGCCCTGCCAAGGCAAAAACTCCCAATCTTGCGGCTACTGTGCCAAATTGTGGAAACATGTGACCGGGCGTCCCGTTGGGAGGGAAGGCAGGAAGGCAGACACAAAGCTATGCGGTTCAGCAGGTGACACTGTGAACCTCTCACCTTCCAGCTTCACCGGTGCCAATTAATGCAGCAGAATCAGCAGGGCCACAAGATCCTACGGAGATATAAGACTTGCCATTGATGTTTCGGCTGATGTGAAGGGATTCTGAGCAGGCATTAGGACATTGTTTGTGAGCATAAATCCGTGTGGTGGATCTCACCAAAAATAACAATAGTTTGGCTATATAATAGTAGTCTCTGCTGGATGTATGGGCATGATAACAAACCAGCCCAGGGACATGAAATATTGCTCTTGTTTTTGTAAGTTATGATTCCTGCGGCCTGTTTTTCTTGATTATGTTTAACACATGGCTGTTGACAGGAGGAGAAATGTTATTTTTACTGTGGAAAAGTTTGAAAATAAGGCGAATCATGCCTGCATGTACTATATAAACATATTAAATATTATAATATTTTATTGCCTAAAATACCTAAACACCTAGGTATGCTGTGAAATGGCACATACTGTAACCTCCGTCCTTTGACAATTTGTCAAGTGTACCAAGATGACCCGACAACACTTTTAAAAGTGACAAAGCACTTTCTCTGTTTACCACATTTCCGCTCAGCTTCCTGCAGGCCAACTGTGGTTCCCTAGCTAAAATCCACATCACCCTCAGGTGACCTGTGCCTGGCCTTCGCCTGGGGGGTGGGGTGGGACATGAGGTCACCTGAGGAGATCTGGGATCTTGGCCACGTTATTGTGTAAACATACAGGCATCCAGAAGAAGGCTGTACATGCACTGTACATATACTGTATATAAAATGCAAGCAATCACCATATATATATATATTGAGAATCTTACATATAACTGAATAAATTCTCAGTACTGATATTAAAACGTATTTGACATTATCCTTTATAAGGTTGTGCTAAATGATCCGTGCGATTAGCAATTTGAGAAGTTTCCCTACAACTTCCTCACAGCTGTGAGAAAGGTTGAACGCGGCAGAAAGTGCAGCTCAGTGGGAACACAGGCTCACTTTTGATAGCTGCGCCCTCCTGAAGACGTCTCCTGGACCCAGCTGTGTAATTTGAGTCCCCCGGCGGTGCTGCCATTGGCTTTGCCTTTCAAAATAGGTACTGCAGTTTCACGAGCGGTTTTCAGGAGGTCGTACTGAGTGGAAAACCGGCTTTTTGGGATCCTGAGTCGGGCCATTCTCTAAGCACCACTCAATGTTTCTTTTGTGTTACTAAAGCATTCGAGCAGTCCTACTGACATACACTTTCTTACCATCTGTCCCTGACGACAATAATTTTAAAGAGTAATATGTGTTAATAATTATTCATATACTTATTGAAGAAGTGGACCTACTGAACATGTCGAATATGTTCATGTTATCTAATCCCGCCTCTGAAACCAGTGAACCACAGGAGTATGTTTTGCTTCCCTGATTGTATTTTTTGTATTTTCACATAAAATAAAAAAAGCCAAAAGCACCATCGCTGGGGCACTTACACAACCTCCCATCCTATTCAAAATCTAGCCCATGACTGTGAAATTACGTATTGTCACAAAGAGGCTTGATTCTGTTCTCTCACAATGCCAGGACAGGGGGTTGGATTATTGCTCCATCTACGCATGTGGGGAGTTTCCTCCCCCAGCCCAAACATCTGCAATTTGGGTGTGTAGCCCATTCTGTATTGGGTGTCCTCATGCCTTGTGCCCCATGTTGTCTTGGACAGGCTCCAGCACCCCCCCCCCCCCCCCATGTGTCAGCAGTGCATAGATTATAGTATTAATCACATTAATAACAATCCATCTATTATTCATTCATTTATCCTGGTCAGGTGTCTCCCCCAGGGTGGGACATACATAGGAAGACTGGCCAGTTCATCACAGGGGACACAATTTACAATTTACAGACACCAATCAACCTACCTCCATTATTTTTTTAGAATTGTAAGTATTTTATTGCATGAGGAAACTAAACACTAAAACCTGCACAAATGTAACTTCGGCACCAGAGCATACCTGTCATTGCGACATATTTCATTATAAACAGGCATCTTCGACTTCTGCGTTATTCCGTCAGATGGGGCTTCTTTGCTTATTTGTCCAGTTACGCCCACGCCTCACGGTCGACGCTGTCACATCTAAATAAAACGTGTCTGAGGATTAATTGCTCGTCGACACGTGTGATACCGCAAAGTAAAATGCATATTGAACTGTAAGTAATGTCAGCAGGAAGCCGCCGGACCTTGCAGAGCTAAGCAGATTTACGGCCCACATTGACGCGCGTGATAAGTGGACCGACTAATATACTGTTTATAGGTCCGACACGTGGCTCAGAGAGGGGACAGATTTGATTTGTGGGATCTGACAGGGTGCAGCAACCGCTCTGCTCGCTGGCTTGCGCTCCAGCTCCGGTACCTTGCCTCCTGGGAGGAAGACATTACCTTTGGGCAGAGGCGTGCGGCGAGTGTGTGCGGATGCATCTGAACGGAACCATGCTGATGCCATGGAATACAATAAACACAGCGGGCGGAGGGGGGGCTTTGATAGACAGGGCAACATTGCAGGGAGGTTTTCCCTTGGTAATCCTGCACTGAATGTTAAACAAGTCCTGCGTATTTAGATAACTATCGGCCAGTTAGGTCATTCAGTCGGATTTATGCAAGATATTCAAACATGGATATAAAACGGATAACATTCATGTACCCAGATGTGTACTTGAGCCTTCATATTATGTTTTCTTTAGAAAACAGGCTATATGATTGAGTGCAGTTTAATCTCAACTTCTTTTTCAAAATCCGGATAATGCAATCGGATTACAGGCTCATTGTTTTCCTGTTTTTTTTTTTGCCGTCTTTACTAAAACTAAACAAAGACAACAATGGCGTAGGAGAGAGTTTGTGATTGGGAGATACACAACTTAATAATTAAAATACAACGGTGTGTTTTTTTGGGGGCCTGAATGAAGCCAAATTAAATACTCTACACCCCTGAACGGAGAAATACCCATTTAGAGATGTTTCTAAGAAAAAATGTGAACAATTATAGGATTGCCTGCGTTCGTTTTCACAGGCAATGGCACGTGGATAATTTGGTAAGTCAGCTGTTGAGTTGTGTAGAAGCGGTGTGTGTGATTCACACGCAACACTGGAAAACTTTACAGTCTGAATCACTATAATAAAATTTCCCCCTGATAGGGAATATATGATGGACAAATCACATTGAAAATGACCCCACAAATTTGAAATTTAATTAGCATAGTATATGTTTAATGAAATTCTTATTTTCCCCTGTGCTAATCATTTTCTTTTATATTCGGCCTTAACACTTCATCCCGATAGTCACTCACAGTGATCAAAGGCCATTGTTAGAAAAGCAGTGATCTGCTCCGCAAAATAAGGCCAAGTTTTGAAAATAAGATGTGCATAAAACATTTGGTGTTGACTCCGTACTGTCTTATAGCAGCTCAGCACACTGAGTACTGCTCATACTACATCAACTAGTCTGTGGCAGATGTTCCTCAATAATTTAACACCAGCTGTAAGGAGGCCATCCCAGAATATGGAACACGTACAGAGAATCTTTATGTTACTCTTCAGTTCTAACACCCTGTTAACAAGTACACACTTCCTTTATTTTTAAAAGTTACACCAGCGGAGTGTAGGCTACTACAAAGAGAGTTTACTGGCTTACTGAGGTTTCTTGAGGCTCATTCCCGAGTTTTCGGTATTACGAATCGTAGCTCAATTTTAAACGGGGTATATTGCCATGAGAATTTGCGCTGCACACCTAAACAGCTTCAGCAGGTTTAAGAGCAGGAAATCGGATTAAAAGAGGCATAAGTTCTGCTTTTTAACCAAAAAAAAAAACATACTGTATATAAGAGTTGCCCCTTTACAAAATAGTAGGGATGGGTAATACCGCAGATTTTCTTTTTGATCTGTTTCATCCCTCTTTTTTATCCCCTTTGCAGCCCCTTGCCAGGATTGGATGGAATTTGCCGGCGGGGATGGGATGGGGTGGGGGGACGATAAGGATTGCCGAGAGGTGATAAGGGTTAGTTAACCTGGCTATGTAATACTTACTTCATGGTACACCCCACAGGAAAAATAACATGATGTTGGATGATGTAAGATTCTCAAGCTTGACTTCTGTCTTGGAGGAACAAACATATACATGAGTACACACCTACACACACAAACGCACACCTACACACACACACACACAGACAGACATAGGTTCAGATGCACATATTCTAATGAGACAGCAGTGTAAGTCCTGACTCGTCAATGTTTGTATTGTAGTAGACACAATATCGATCAATTTCAGAGAGTTGATTCTGTAAGGCAGTGTTCCCCACTCCGGTCCTTGGGGACCCACCGACAGTCCACGTTTTTCCAAAAATGTGGACTGTCTGACAGGGAGCTCAGAGAGAGCAAAAGTGTGGACTGGCTGTGGGTCCCCGAGGACCGGACTGGGAAACACCGGACTGGGAAACATTGCTCTAAGGAATGTATCTAAGGTCGTTCCCTGTTCTGCATGGGATAGACTCCAAGATCACCGCGACCCTGAGTGGATGGTACTAGTTCAAAGTTAAAAGTCCTTAACAATAAGCTTTCTGCTCATTACCCATTAGGCATTTATGAATATTAATAATAAAAATATTATACACATGTAGGCTAATGCCATTTTTAAGATAATTAGTGAAGCAGGGTTTCACCAAAGAAACAGTAACATTCATATCACATTAAATATCATTTTAATACCAGTGTATAGTCACAATGACCATTTTCATGTGAAACCAACAAAGTGTGGCTCTTCAAAAAATGTCTGACAAAGTATTGTGCAAAGCAACATCGCTCTTAGCTTGATAAGAGGAACTTCAGTGAAGCAAAACATTTGCTGTCTCACTGAGATCATTGACTTCAATGTATTTCTCATCACCATCAATTTAGTAACTGATTGGATTGTTATAATATATAACGCATTTTTAAACCCAGCCAGTGAAGCATGCTTCACATGGCTTATGTCAAAATTCAGTGCCTATTGTGTAGGTATGCCATTTTGGACACACCCTTCATCTCTGTTTGCTGATGCAGTGGCCTTGTGGGATACCGTAGTGTCCATCGGTTGCACACTCTGGAATTTCGAAGAATGTCATACAGTATGTCATCCGAGTCCTGTTTCCTACTGTCTCATCCATTCAGACATACAGCCCACGTCACATTATACCTTGTTGGTTTGTGGACAAAGAATTGGTATACCCTAAGTTAAAGAGGAAAGAGTTTAAACTTACTTAAGTTTGTAAATACTGCTCTGGTTTATTGTAGGTAATACAGTGTATACTGTCAAAAAGAATTTTCATTGTTAAATTCAGATTTTTTATTGTGCAAAAGAAACACGTCCGTACAGTCATGCAATTAAGTCTTTTGGGAAATGTGAGCATTAGAGTTTGCACCTATCCTGTTTATTATGTGATGAAATAAAATGCTGTTTCAAAATGACATAGGATACAAGTTGTCTCTTATTTTTGGACTGCGCAATCGATCCCGCTACAAATATTATTGTTGTGTATCTGGGGAGATGGGGAAGGGGGTGATCTCACCTTATTTTTTCAGATTGAGAGTAGCAGCCCAAGTGAGGGCTGATAATTTGATTGACGTAGGCGTGCATTTACAGTTAGCTAAATACAACGGCATGGTGAGGAAAAACCATGAGATTCTGAAAAAGCTGATCAATTTTATTTTGATTTTATCCAGCAGGAGCTGGCATTTAGAAGATATGATGAGAGTGAAAACTGACAACAAAGGAAACTGTAGGGAGTTTATAGATGTGCTTTCCTGCTATGAGGATGTTCTGGCTTTTGTTGGTGCGTTTGTATTGCACATGTAATGTAACACAAAGCAGTAATGCAATGCTGAGTACCCTACTCATATTTTAATCATGGCACTTTGTTAGCTTTACTTTCTATTTATTTATTGTATTTCAGAACAGGGTGCACCTGGTGAAAACTGTTAAAACCAGTTTTTGTCAACATTGCTTTCTAAGCATCACTAGGCTAATAGTTACACAGTTGAAGGTTCTGGATGCACGGCTAAGTAGAGATTGAAATTAGCAACCATTGTGAATGTTTTGTACTGTGTTCTGAATATTTTAATATTTAGTATAATATTTATAGTAATGACTAATTGACTAATATATGATCAGGGCAGACATTATAGTGGGGGAGGGGGGGTTGTTGGGTCAGTTGAGAGTTTGCTTCACTAACCATTTTGGTCAGTAATCCGTACTGCAATGCGTGTTGCATATTGTGTTTTACGTGGCCGATCATTTGCAGTAATACTTACTAGTAATCAATAATCAAATAAATCGTCACAGATGCCAGTTCAGATTCTGGCAAATAGAGTTGTTCATTCTAATTACACATATTTATGTAAATAAACAAACGGGGACATTAAAAAATGATATACTTTTACACACACAGTGCATACAGATGTTCGCCGAAATAACACCTGCTTTGTTAAATGTGGGTTATTCAGAGGGCACTGAGTAAAAGAGGATTGGAAGCCGTGCTCTTAAATATGGTAATTTATTGTGATTTATGGTGCTGCTTTGCAGAGTACTGGGAGGAGTCCCGGTGTACTATGGGAAATTACCGGGGTGCAGGGAGGCCTGCTGGCGCGTTTCAGCGAAGGTTATGCCTCCTCCTGAAATGGTCGTCGTGTTTCATCTTTCACTAATCTGCTCCGGCCCTCCGTCCTCAGCAGAGACGCGCAGCACGGCGTCTTCACCGCGGCGAGGAACCCAAGGAAGGTCTCAGTGAGACACAGCTACAATAATGAGCTTATAAATCTCTGCATCCCCATTAATAAGTAGCTGCAGTTAATTACAGGTGATTTTGACCTTTTAATTTACAACAGACTATTCATACTTATGCCAAGATGCTTATTTTTAAATGCTAGTTTGCTTTGCATCTGTATTTTTGTTAAATAAACTACAATGCAGTTCACAGACATTGCAGAGTTTATCCAGTAATGCAATGAATATTAAAATCATTATGACAACATATGAAAAATTATAATAACATGAAGTGGGATCTGTATATGAGGAACAATGTGTTAAAATGATATAATATTTATTTTCCTTTTTTTCTTAACTGCATTGAGAGTTTGTGGTTATCGATTTGCCCTTTTTTTCTTAAGGTGACTGTATGCAGCATATTTTGAAGCTTCGGCTTGACTCTGAACAGCCCACGTGTAACATGTCATATTCCATAGCTACATGGTTGCAAAAATCATTATCAACCCAGACGTTTAGCTAGATTTTAAAAGCAATTCTCATTGTTAATACATTTCTGGTTTAGTGGATGTCATGTGTGATGCAGAAAGGAGCATGATGGATTCTGAATGTCTTTGACACGCATGGGAGATAATGGTAAGCGATCGCAGAATACAGTTGGCTAAATGATCAGATATTAATGACAGACCTCCCACATTTGTCACCCATCGTTACCCATGTTGTTGCCAGTGGGATTTTCTTTTTCTCCTTTCTGGATGTTTTAAAAATCCACATCCTGTCTAGGATCCGCTCATCAGAAGAGCTGCACGCAGGGCCATACCCTTTGTAGATGCACCATGAAGCTCACTTGTAAAAGCTAAAGAGAAACAGTAAAAGCGAAGACATGTCCTAATTACAGACGGCTCCCATCTGTATCCCAAAAACCAGCCCAGACACTCACGCGCAGGCCTGCAAAAGAGCCTCAGAGGCTTCCCCGCCATGGAGATCTCATCTACAGAAAGCTCTACTGGAATCCACTAATAAGTAAACTGAGAAGAAACAAAGGGTTAGAAGATATAGGTGAGGTGGAGAACAAAGACTGCTGTGTGTTTTGTTCCTGTTAATTAATGGCCAGGAATATTCGTCAAGACAGGAGAATAAGTCACGGTTGGGCGGAGCCCAAAACGAGACAAAACGCTTTCCTTTGGTCTTTATCTGTCGTATTGGTCATAGCTCACTGCTTTGGACTAAAGAATTTAGATTATGTCTTTAAAATATTGATTTAACTCCACATTTAAATGTTTCAAGTGTGCTCAGTGTACCAAATTCAGGAGTGTTTTTGTCTCATTACACAAAGGGTATGTCCGATATGGCATTTATGACTAGACATGGGATTAGGATTCATTTTAATGACGTACAAGGAATGAAAAATGAAACATGCCTTGAAGGAACTGCCGATACTGGAAAACATCATTCTCTTTGCTAGGAACTGTATCATCCTATAGTTACATCTGGCATGCCAATGACATGCCATCCGAGCTGAACCAAGGGTGGCATACTGTGAGTCAGACTGGCTGGGTGGGCGGCATTGTGCTATTGGCCGTGTTTTAGCTGATTCTGGCCAGCCTCCTTGGGTATGCAGAATACTGAACACAGAGGTAAAAAAACTAAGAGCTCGGCTACCTTGCATCGTGGAGATGGCCAAGGGGGAAGTAACGAGATCGGTCAATGTATTTTTATTCCAGCAACATTTTGTGCTGCAGTGGAAAAAGTCTTGTGTGACCCTGATTAGATAACCAGTCAGTATCTTACTTGGGTTATGAACCATTTTGCCTCCCGCAGATGCTATAAAAACAGAAAGCTGGTGCATACCTAGCTAGAAATATAATCCAATTTTCATGCCACTTTCTGCCCATTTTCCCCATGTATACTGCTAATATACTGTGATAACTGTTTTTTTTTTCTTTTTTTTTAGTTTAACTTTGTTGGCAAACTGCTTGGACCAAGGGGAAACTCATTAAAAAGGCTACAAGAGGACACACTGACAAAGATGTCCATTCTGGGAAAAGGCTCCATGAGAGACAAAGAGAAGGTAGGACCCTCTTTATTGTTGACGTCCATAATTCTGAAGCTAGTCTCTTGCCGTCAGCGGAAGCATCGTCGCTGGCCTCATCGGCAATGCCATATGGGAGATTCCCTTTGATTGTCTTTCCTGGGGTTTGTCGCTGATGATTTGTAGGTTCAGTGATTTTCTGTCTCACACTCTTTGTCCCCTTTGATAGTCACAATCGATAGACTTGGCTGACATGCGCTGTAACATCAGGGATGAGAAGGTCTGTCAGAAAATACTCATGCTTGCCTATACTAAACATGCTCAGATGAACACTCTTCCTACTGACCAAAACTCATGACTCAGACTCTTCACTGCAATCCTTATTCTTTCTGCTTCCTTGGTCTTAGAAAATTAGTGCAATATAGCTTATTTGATGTAATACACTCTGTAAAATATAGGCACCTTTTATTATTAGCTTATCCAAGAATTAATATATATACAATAACAATAATAATTACTTTTATTATTATTATTACTACTATTATTATGATGCTTTAGAGGACAATGAGTGGTATGTTGTAGAATAACAGAGGAAGAAGAGCCCAGAGGTATAATTATAATGTGGAGTCACCTGTCTGTTGAAGAGACAGCATTGTACTGTGACCAGAGGGATCAGTCCAAACATTAGCCACTGCATCCCCAAAGGAGCTGATTTGGGAAAATTTCAGCAAGTTCTCATGGATGAGAGGCACAATGAAATTATTTACCATCTGGGTGTAGATTTTAACTGTGCTGCTCAAGTTAAAGAGCGCCAGATTCATTAAAATATTAAAAATCTCCATAAAAAAGCCCATATATCTGTAAATCAGCGTGAAGCATGCTTGGCTTGTGATGCATAGCAGCAATCAACTAAAAACAATGAAAGTGAAGTTTGGAGGGACTTTTTTAAAGATCCCTATAAGACGAGAGGAGAGCTGTTATTGCAGACTGCAGGGTAAGTGCAGGAAATAAATTTTCAAGTCTGTAATTACATACCTCGACATGCAATGTAAAAATGCTACAAATGAATGTACCACAAATGCAGATCCTGACAGAGAGGCATTAATCAGTGCAAATTACAGCCTGTGAGTAATTGCATTCAGACAGTGTAAACCGTACCAGGGAAGTTAATAAACCTACTGTACCTCATTATTATCTGAAATTTGACTCCTGACCCTCCCCCCATAAATTACACAACAACAGCAGGATGTCTTCATATTAGGGGGTTTACGGTATTGGTATTGCAAGCCCTGGTGTTACCTTTGCTTGTATACAGTACATGAATGATATGAGACGTTTGGCAATGAGAAGGTAATGTGCGGATGGAGAGGAGATTGTACATTCAGTGCTTATTGCCATATACTGTATGTGAATTGAGTCAGCTGGTCATGCCTGTTTCCCCTGAGCACTGTGGCCACTTGTCATAGCGTATTTATGGACTCTGGAGAGTAACACAAAGAGCTAATGGCTTCACTGTTGTTATTATTTTCTTATAGCTTTTGCATTATGAGCCGTCTTTCGATTGTACTTGTTGGTCCATATGTCAGTCCACCCTTAATATTTTATTACATAAAAGCTCTCTCTCTCTCTCTCTCTCTCTCTATATATATATATATATATATATATATATATATATATATACTGTATATATATATATATATGATGTAATTGCACCTGATTCATGTCTCGAGCTATACTAAGAAGTGCATCCCACAGTTCAGCTCTTCGTTCATTTCCTTCTAGCAGCAATAGGCATCAGTCCAAACAATATTAGCCTGTGTGAGATGAAATAGGATCCATCGATGTGAAAAAGAAGTAATGAACCTAAATTTAGCCTAACTGCTAAAAGCTCACTTAAAAGATTTGTTTTAGTGCAATATGTATATATGCAGCATAAAGACGTTGAAATAGCATTTAAAAGTTTTATTTGGCTATTATTATTATAGTATTAGATCTTCACTTCATTGTAATGCTATCTGAAGTTAATCAGTGGGCCGTATTATGTGTTACATGCTGTATGTTAGGCCACATACGGACTGTGTTTGTCCCCATTGCTGTTTTTCCTGTGGAAGTCATTAATTTAAAGCATTGTGTTTCTTTTTCTAGAAAGAATTGCCTTCATAATCAGATTTTCTGTTACAAAAAAAATAACGGGAAGATTCTGCCAATAGATAAACAGACTAGACACCTCTAATCTTTTGCCATTGGCTCCAGAGACTCTCCACGCAGCCTCTGGATTATTGATGTCTGTTATCTCTAATACACAAAGGGCCCAGTTTTCAGGGCCTTCATAAAAGGCGGAATTCTCAGCAGCAACGAGCTGCTCGCAGAGGAGATGTCCTCTCACAGAGGCAGGCCCACAGGGGCCCCGCTAGCCTGTTAGCTCGCCGGCGTGTCTGAGAGGACGGTCACTCACGGCGATGTGGCATGTCCAGGCGCTAAGGGGCCCTCCCAACGCGCTGGCTCATGCTTCCTAACACTCCCATTTAGGCCCAGGCCTCCCCTTAGCGAATTTCACTTTGTCATTGCGCTTAACTTTATCATTTGTCTGTTTGGTTGGGAAGAGCGTTATAATCATTTAAAGTTGCATATTAGCTTCTCACTAGCATTTTTATGCTCAGCCTCTGTTTCCTGGGATACTCTAAAATCCGGTATATTCTGCCAGAAATGCCAGTTTCCCAAAAAGATGAACGAGCTGATGGGTATATTTTAAGTTACTTACATTACGTTACAGTCCTTTAGCTGTTTCTCTTTGTTGTTTTTTTTTGTCTTTTTGCCTAATCATTCTCGTAGCAGGTCCCTTAGGTTTAAATTCCAAGCCTATAAAATATGTTTTATTATACTGTCAGAAATACTGTCATAATGTACAAAAAAACCAAAGCCGTCTGAGTGTTTTTTCTTTATTACTCATTGTTTATCTCACTTGAGTATGGTTCTAAGGGTAAACCGGGGAGCATGAGCCTTAAAGAAAGCCTTTATTAGATGAACTCAGCCCTGACTCATTCTCTAAAATTGGATTTTACCATAAGCACAGAAGTCCTATGTTGTCATTTTGCAGTAAACACAGCGGCCATAACAAAGGCACTAATAGCCCGATGAAGCGTGTTAGCTGAGGGTCAGACCTGTGAAGTTCAATTAGTGACCACAACATTCTCTTTTAGCAGGAGTAAAGGGGACAACACATTGTTGCATGACAAATAGCTTCATATTTTTTTTGTAATATTCATTTTTCACTCAACTGTTCCAGTCATTGCATGCTACTGAAATGCTATCATGTGTTGAAGCAACAGCTTTATATGTGTGTACTGTTAAAGTAAACGCGGCGATGGCTTACGTGGTTTTACGTAGAAGCTGTGGCGTGTTTCAGGAGGAGGAGCTGAGGAAGAGTGGTGAGGCCAAATTCCAGCACCTCAACGAGGACCTCCACGTTCTCATCGAGGTGTTTGCCCCTCCAGCCGAGGCCTACGCCAGGATGGGCCATGCGCTGGAGGAGATCAAGAAGTTCCTTATCCCAGTACGTGTGCAAGCAGCTCATATCGTTCCTATTATTAATGTCCCCATTCATAACTCAATTGTGGTCTGAGGTGCACATGAATGCGCAGTCAGCATTAATTAATGATGACTCTTACAGTCATCAGATCGCCAGAACACTCTCCCAGGTACAATCATTTTCGTCTCATACAACAATTACCTTTACAATCACTAGCCTTGTTTGCCCACGACCATATGAATTGTCATCATAATGAAAATTAACTGGCATTTGATTAACTTATGGTATATTTATACACCTGAAATTACAGTTCCCTTTTCCATTAGTAAAGGTATAATTAATTAACCAAGATTTCTATAAAGTATGATAAAATATAAAATCCTCATTAGAAGTGTCTTTCTTTTCTTAATTGTATATTGCATCAATATACATAGTAACCCCACCAAACGATGTTGCATATCGGCATGGAATCTGAAAGATGGTTTGCCTAAGGAGAGCAGGTTACAGCACTCTGAGTACATTAATTATATATTCCCCGGCGGTAACCTAGAGATAAAGGAGGTAATTTAATATGGTGTAATTGAATGGGGTGCTGTGTGGTATGCCTCGTCTGTAGGATTACAATGATGAGATCAGACAGGCACAGCTGCAGGAGCTGACGTATCTGAACGGGGCCTCTGAGGACGCCAAGGTGCCCGCCGTGAGGGGAAAGCCAGTAGCCAGAGGAAGAGGGACGCCCGCTCCGGGCCAGCCCAGGTACCCGGGAACACTGTAGGGGGGGAGGACTACACAGGTACAGTGGGCAGAAGGCATTGCCCTCAGAGTGGCACGGCTGTCCCCCAGCCTGACGCACAGGCACCAAGCCACAAAACAAAATTACTAGTTTGAATTCCCCCCAAAATTTGTTTGCCCCTGACCAAACATGTAGCCTGGTAGTAAAATTTCAAGTTTGAATTGTCTCTGATTGGCAAAATCTGCTGAGGGAAACCCCCCGGTCTATGAAGTCTACTGAGGCGACGAAATCTACCGAGAGCGACCTATCGGTACAGTTACCTGAGCTCTCTGAAACATATTTATGGATACGGTCCCTGCTGACACAAAAGTTTCTGCCAGAAGGTGCCGCAGGGGCAGGGGCGGGGGCGGGGGCCTATGGGGGGTGGAACGCTTGAGTTTCTTATTTAGTATTATTAAACTTCAAAGCACTAAGTACCGCAGTTTTGAGGCATCAAGGTCCATGAATATTAAAGCAATAAGAAAAGAAATCAGTATCACCCTTGATGTCCTCTAAGATTCAGTACCGTGGAAAAATAGGACACTGACATGTGCATTTATATAACTGAAAATGAAAATTTTTGGCTTCTTAAATTGACTGAAAAAGAAAATGTGAGTAGAGAAGCAGGGTTTTTCTGTATTAAATTTGCATATTGTCATGGTATTAAAATCTCCCGCTTGCATAGACCAACACAGAAATGTTATTTAATCCTTAATTTACCTTTAAGTTCAGCTCATGAAGCTAAATTATCTTTAGTACAATACGTCTAGTGCAGTTAAGAAGAGATATGTCAGCTTTCTTATTTTGGGTTTCATATTTCTGGTTACATGATATTAAAATGAGCAGGTTTCTGAGTCCAGTATAAATAGGGCTCTTATTGAAGATATTTACTGTCTTACAATTATATACCTTTAGATTACAGTGTCCAGTTAAAACTACATTTCTCAGTGTACAAACATATACATAATATTAAACTGACCAACACAGTCATCAAAACCTGTGTATTTTACACAGTGATGGAAATAGCTGTGGTCACAAATTTCCAGTTGTTAAAGTTTCTAGAAAAGTTAGGCGAGGGTGAACGCTGAGAGGTAACGTTACAATTCACGAGGCAACATTACAATTCATGAAACATTTTAAAGGAAATGCAAGTACATAAAAAATATTTTATGCACACAAGGAGTAGCTAGCTGTATACTTCAAATGACACCATATATAAGCTGGTATGAACAGATTAATTAAAACTTAATTTAATTACCAGAATATGCATGTTTAACTTTACCGTTTACAGTATTGTCTATCACTGATTTAATTTAATGCGTTCTGATGATGGGGAAACAAGTATGTATTTAAATACTTGTTGAACTCTCAGTTTATATGATTTGTGTCACAGCTTCAGGGTGCTTTTAATTCATATGATTTGTCCTATACATACAGGACTCTTTCAGCTTATATGATTTGTGCCATACAAGATACTTTGGTTTTTTGTTGTACAACAGCAATACACATTTGTCTGAGATATATAGTCTGAGTAAATTGCTGCACTGCTCTCCTTTGTAAATTGCATTTGCAGCATGTATTTTGCTCTTATTAGAAGACTGGCAGGTTGTAGATTATACTGACTGGAAAGAAAAAACACGCTAATTAATGACAGTCTTCGCATTTGGAGAGATTTCTCCAGTCAGTGGCAATGCAAATTTACATCTGATCAGATTTAAACAATGCAAGCAAACAGTGCAAGCCTAGATTTTTGTTCCAGAACATCTGAAGAATTTCCACAGCTGACTGTCGGCGATAATCTCATTAATATTGGTTAATGGGGCACACATAATGCAGAAAATTGCATAATTGGAAGTTTTATGTGCGAGATTTTATAATTATGGGATTTATAAGAAAATTGTGGGATGATGCCTTTTCATGTAAACTCTATAGTTAAATATGGTTTATGTGTTATTTGTTTTTAATAGGTTGGCATTCACAATTTAAATAAAATAATGAGATAGTCCTAAACAGAGCTGCTGCTAAACACACATATTCCATCCTCTAGTTTGGCAATTCAACCCTGAGTTACCAGCCCCCTTTGTTTTCGGGAAGCCTTGCCAGCTAATCTGTGATCTCTCCCGAAATTAAACTCTGCTGTGTATTTCAGCTGAGTTTTAAGACCATTGTGTGATTTACATTGACTCTGTGTTTCGTCTACGGGGAGACTGCATCAAAATACACAAGCCCAAAATTGCTCTTTCGAAAGTAGCTAGACTTCTAATAAGCCAAGTCCTTCAACACAAATTGATTTAATTCCCTATGTTTTAAATTTATTTATCTGCAGGAAATACATAGATTAAGCAGGCAAATATTATCCAATTAAGTCATATAAACAAGTACAATGCAAATATAATGCAATTACTTCTCCTGAGATTGAATTACAAGCAAAATAGATTTGGCTTTCTGTTTGTTGACCATTACTGTGTCTCAGGAGTCGCGGAGGAGTGCCCCCTCCGCAGGCCGCAGTGCCGCGTGGGGCAGCACCCAGGGGGGCGCCATTGAGCCGCCCACCAACCGCCAGGGGCCGAGGAGTGCCGACGCAGAGGGCCCGAGGGGCACCCCCCACGGCTGGGTACCGCCCCCCACCGTCAATTGTACAGGAAACATACGGAGAATATGTGAGTAACCGTACTTACGATTCATGGTCATTCTTACATAGCTCCAAATCATGCAATACTTATTTAATCAGAGTAACAGGCGGTTTGACCTCGAGCCGAGCAATGCGCAGTATGACACTTCACCCACGTACGCAGTTAAGTATTATTTTATTGAAGCGATCCAGGTTAAATACTTAACTCAAGTGTCCTCTCCGCAGCCCCACCCACCTCATGGGACTCTGGCCTGGGGACTCTCATTTTTCGGTACATTTGAACTATACCTTGTGATATATATTGGCTTGCTTTGACTTGGCTGTAAAGTCAAACTGCAATAACAACAATATGTGTTTATTTACACTATAAGAGGATTTCAGGTAATCCCAAGCAATTGTCCTTCAGCCCATTCCCGTGACATTCCGTGTATTTCCATTATCAACAGGGGCATGCCGTGCCTGGTGCCCCCCCCCCCCTCCCCCCAGAATGCTCTCTGATCCCTGTCATCATCCTGTCAGGCTAAGCGTATTATTTAACTCAGCGGGATAACTTGACCGCTCTTGCATTACAGATGTTCCCCGCTCCCGTCATAAGCAGTCTTAGATAACTTGGTCGGAAAAATGAGGTCCCACCGACTATTAAAAATATGGGGGCGGAGGGTGGAGCTTAACTGATTTTGTTTTCTTCTCAGACGAGTTCACTGAAGCATCCCATGATTTGAAATAAAGCTTGCAATTCCGTCTAGGGGCAGCGACTTTGGCCCGATCTCTGTACACAGTGAGCAATTCACTGTGCAGTAAGCAGTCATCTGCCGCACAACACAGGTGCATAATTATATCACTCATAATTACAATATATTTCTTCGGTATTTCTGAGGCGTAAAGGAGAGATGCAGATGAAGTGGTGCGAGCAAATGTCTGCTGAAGCATCACGTTTTATATTTGCGTTATTTCGAAATCAGATATTATGTGTGTTTTAAGCTATCATCCAGTGGCAAGGCTAACAAAGGGCATTTTTCGTACATCTGTTCAATCCGTTGCCCCAATTGAAAGCAGTAAATATAAATACTGCCAAAGAATATAACATCACCAGCTTAAAAAAACACATTTGGCTCCTCAAGCACCTGTATATTTATAAGAAACTATATATATGGAATCTTACATATGATGCTAATATACAGTATAAGTATGAAGTCTGATAAATGGCATGTACCTCAATATCGAAGCAGGTGCCAGCTAGACAGTTGGCAGGAACACTGCATGCATTACGGACGTAGGGGTGAAGAGGTTCACCCCACCTGGAAATTGGCATGCCAGCCCATAGCTAACAGCATTTGACGGATTTATTCAAAGGTGGCGATTTGAACGTGAAGAGGTCATAGCTAATGCCTCCTAGACCAGCTGTTGCCCATCATTGTCACGGCTGTAAACTGCTCCCTGGACACCTGCACATCACCGGAGACGGCGGCGTCTGGCGAGCCATAAATCTGCGGCGGGGGCGAGCCCTCACCGAGAATCGAGATGCTTCCTCCCTCAGGACACTCTTAATTCCCGCCCCGATATTATTGCCGAAAAAAAAACGTCACACCAAATCAGTTTGTCACTAGGCGATGCCAAGGAATAAAAGCATTTTAATCCTTCCGTCGCAGACCAATTCATTTCCTTGTTTGTGGATGTGATTGGTTTCATTCCCCCACCCCCCATTTTTCACTACTAGCCCTCCCCTTGAGAGAGAAGCGGTGCTTTTCACCAAAGATCCTTCACTGAGCAGCACAAACGGCTCCCACCTTAATTACGTGCTCAGGAACGCATAGGAGGGGTGTAATGATGGCAGTGAGATATGCGCAGACTGGCTCTTTAAGACTAAAGCTGTGAGCAGGCATCCGGATCGTGCCTGCGCTGTGCCGCGGGCCCTCTGGTGCTGGGAGAGCGAGTGGTGCAAGGAACTCCCAGCAGCTGGGGTGCAGAGCTGCATGGGGTTAGACCTGCAGCAAGTGTGCAAGTCAAGGGTCAGGCAGGAAGCAACACTGGGATGTATAAGTAATGAATATCTTTCAGTGCTTGTGTGTTTATTGTGGCCTTTTGGAAATGTGATGCATAGATAGATAGATACTGTAGATAGATAGATGGGTGGACGGATGGATGGATGGAACATGACATTTTTATGGTTGGCATTCTCAATAAATAAATGTTAGTGTTGTGCTTGTAAGTGGCAAATTCAGTCACAGTCATATCTGAAATAGATTATAAGAGTAGCCATATCTGATTGCTGAAAATTACTAGGATGAAAATTTATAACAAACCGAAATGTGATTATATAGGGTAATTGACTGAGTGTTTTAATCTGCTCGCAGCGTAATTGGATTCAGATCTGTTTTGATGTATTGTACCCGACAGGTTCCTTTCTGTTGAAGACATGAGCAGCTGACGGAATGTTGGTTTTTCATTAAATTACCAAAAGAATGAACTACTTCTGTGAGTAAGATTAGTCATATTGCAGACCTCTATGCTACATGCTATGGCACTCAAAGTGCCATATCAAATATGACGAGAGGATGTCTGAAAGTCAGGGATGCCCCCAAGCACTGTGGTTTAAAAATAATAACAGTTTATCCATTATTGTAGTTTAGTAGCTTGATTCTCTTATCTGCTCCACAGAAACAAAATCTATCAGATAATATTTGCAATGCATTTCTTTCAAAAAAAAAAAAAGCTTTGAACCATAATGGTATTGCAGCAGCCAAACACACAAAGGTGTTGACATTTTTAAGGGGGTTTTAAGTTTTCCCACACTATGGGGCAGAGGGAAATAACCAAAGCACCAGCGTTTTATGGTCAGTGTGGGAAACACTGACTTTTGAGGGAAATCAACAGGTTCAGCAACAACTGGTTCAGCAACGTGTGGTCAAAGAATGAACTCGACTCCGAGACCAGTTTACATCAGAACAAATAAAACACAATCCTCAAAGTGGGAGGGGGGCACAGTCCTTAGATTGGTGTAAATGAAGTTTTATCAATGCCGGAGAACATTGAAATGACGTGTTGGGCCACAGTATCTTTGCATGAAATTACCCCTTAATGTTACTATTGTCATCTGAACATGCCGTGAATCAGTCGCCTCTGCTAATACTCACTGCCCGCCAGAGAACATCAGAGTTTTTTTAACTGCCAGGGTCTCAGACATATCAAGGCATGCAGATTACGCCTCAGTGCTTCAGACGTGTCCGAGCGGACAGTGAGATCTGTCCTCATTTATTAGCTTTTATTTCTACATTTTAATGACTTTAAATAGTATAAGTAATTATATTCCCATGAAGTGACATGACATGAAGGCAAGGAGAACATTAAGATAGATTAAATACCCTATAATACCCCACATATAATTATATTTTACTGATTATAATAATAATTTTCATTCAAGTTCACCAAAAATGTCTTGTATATATGTTCAGGAATACTGTATATACAAGCAGTAAGATTTGTCCAAAGCAGGATTATATAACAGCTTGTTAATGTGAATTTCAGACAAGAAAACTGTGCCAAGAGAACGCCTTGATTCAGGCCTGTAATGAAAGCACGGTTTTCACACAGAAGCGATTTGCCAGAAAGACAGCACACCAGTAAAGCTGACTTTATTTTTTTGTGTTATGAGCAGGGGCTGTGCGGAGGGCAGCCTGGGACTGACACTGGGCCCTCCGCAGTGAGCGTTTCAGGGGGCAGAGATGTCCGTTTCTCCTGCTAATGTAGCATCTCCGGTGATTTGTCGGATAGTGAAAAGGATTAACTGACTCTTTGCTGAATACGGGTTCAAACACGCACCTGATAAATTCAAATGTCCAGCAGTATTTTCAGAAACCAGTTTAAAGACACTACAGTCTGTACATGCGGGGCTGTGGTAACATTTGATGTATCATTGAAGTTTCGTTCTTTTACTTGTCATTCTGTGCATACGCATTTAATTAGGGTTTATCTGAAGCAATCAAATAAATTAAAATTGGTTTTAATCGATTAAAAACAAAATCTTATTAAATCTTTATTTTGATTATCAGATGGCGTTTTGTCCCATAACCTTGTACTGCATAAGCAATTAGAATTTGTATGGATGGATGGATGACATTTTGTGAATTGTAGACCCAATTCAGTTCTGTAACATATGATTCACTAGAGTCATTTGCATGTATTTTTACAGCTTATCTTTGTCTTCATATTATGAACCCTCACCTTCCTTGTTTGTGTCCTTGCAAAAATACTAGCCATTTAGGGCATGGACTTTAGCTCAGAAATTGCTGGACCAGGAGTCTTAATAGTAGGAGCAGAATCCAGGAGCAAGATACTTATCCTAAATTACTCCAGTGAAAATATTGGCTTTTATAAATGGAAAATAATAATATATGAATGGGTAATAATCAGCTAAGCAACAAAACACACGAGGCTGTGAAAAACACGACCTCAAAGGGCTACTGTACCCTTTAGAATATTCAGCGATACATTTTGCAGTTGTTTTGTGGTTTTCTCCTCGTTCCTTCTAAATAAATCCAGCCATCCTTCCATCCACATAACATGGTCAGAGTTGCCTAGAAGTCTATACCAGGCAGCACAGGGTACAAGTTTGGGGTACAGCCTGGACGGGATGCCAGTCTAATGCAGGGTGCATAAGTACTGGCAGGACCTGAAAAACCCACGTGACACCGGGAGAACCTCCCTACCCTGGATCCATGAGTACTAACCTCCTAATCACCATGTCACTCTATGTGATGCACATATATTGTAGACCCTGCCATTTTGCAGTTTCCTAGCTATACCCTAAGCTCTCCTAATGAGAAAAGCCCCTGCTATGTAGGACAGGTGTATTTTTTAATGATACATGTCACAAACATCACATTAACACGTTTCAAACCTAGCAGATGGAATTACTGGATAAATATATGCACAGTGTTGCAACGGAACTACGAACAGACGTCTCATTTCGCCTAAATGAGGTCGGACGCAGAATGGCATGCCTTTGACGCCTGACCTAAGGGGTTAAGCTGAAGAGCAAGCAGATGCTCATTCCTGTAGACATATGTAATAATGCCCAAGCATTGCATGGGAGATACCGGTCTGTCAGGCAATGAAGCATGTAAACGACATGATGAGATCAACACATTGACCCACATGTCAAACAGTAACAGTTTTTACACTCTTGTTGACAATGCACATAAGGGCTGGATATATTAACTGCAAACGAGCTCATATATAACTGCTTTAAGAACATAAGAACATAAGAACTATACAAACGAGAGGAGGCCATTCGGCCCATCGAGCTCGCTTGGGGAGAACTTAACTAATAGCTCAGAG